ACACACACACACACACACAAATGTCAGAGATATTATAAGAAAATATAAAGGCAGGAGGAGGGGGTATTGTTTTATATGAGATGTTCAGGGAAGGGCCTCTCTGAGAAGGTGACATTTCAGTAGAGACAGGAAGCAAGAAAAAGCAGCTGAGGATGTAGCTCAGTGGTTGAGCATGTGCTTAGCATGTTCAAGGCCCTGGGTTCAATCCCCACCAATCCCCCCACACCACCAAAAAAGAAAGGGAGTAAGTAATTTGAATATTTGCAAGAATATCCCAGGATGAAGGAACAGCAAGAGAAAAGTTCCCAAGCCAAGAATGAGCTTCATAATCAAGAAGAATGGGAGAGGGCCAGGGATTTAGCCCAGCGGTTTTGCCACCTGCTGCGTAAGCACAAGGACCGGAGTTCAATCCCCGGTACCAAAAAAAAAAAAAAAAAAAGAACAAGAGAGTAAGAAAGCTATCCAGGGCATGTGGGTCACTGTAAGAACTTTAGCTACTTCTCTGAAAGAGAAGTTACTGGAAGGTTCACAGAAAAGAATCTGAATGTTCTCTCTGGCTGCTGTGTTGTGAATGACTGTAGGAAGAAAGAATGGAAGCAGGAAATGTAGTTAAAAGACTATTATAGCAGTCAAAAGACATACTTATACTAAGGGGGTAGCAGTAGAAGTGGCAAATTCTCAGATTGTAAATATATTGTAGAGATTGCCAATGGGATTGATGAGGTAAAATGTGAAAATTTAAAATAATCCCTGATGAAGGGGAAACTGTTTGTGTATGATAATGTAATGGTGAATAGAAGAATTAATCATTTGTCAAAACCCATAAAATTTTATAGCACTAGAAATAAACTTTAATGTATGCAAATATTTAAAAAAATCATAGGTCCCAATATCTCAGGATGTAATACAGACAGTGACATTCTGAACCTCAACATATTTTAAACATCACTGAAGAGATAAGAGATAATAGAATGCTGACCTAAATAACTTTGGAAATGAGAGGAGTCTATAAAAGTAAAGGCAAAATGAGCTGTACATATGAACAATACTGTAGTTTATAAAGTTGCTTCCCATGGGGGACACAGTTAAGGCATTCTGAAATCACTATCCCTGTACACCAGAATTAACACATAAGTAAAGAGATGGTGGAAGTCATGTTTATCAGAGGTAGAGTGGGGAGGTTACAGGTAAACAAGAAAAGGAAGCTAGTAAAATCCATGTAGTAATGAATGAGAGTTGGAGACATGAGTATGTTCAAAATAACACAGCTACAAGTAGCTACACACAGAAATATCTCCAGATGTGTGTCTGTGTGTGTGTGTGTGTGTGTGTGTGTGTGTGTGTGTACATATGTATCTCTTGCTCTGTCCACTGAGAGGGCCTAGAAGCAAGGACAACCCAGAAGCAATGAACACACCTCATGCCCAGGTCTTGGTTTCTGGGCCATTCTCCAATAAAAGGAACCAGGGCTCCTTGAGAAATGGCAATTCTAGGATGGAGGGAGAAATATACAGGATGAGTGTGGAGTAGAAAGTATGAAAGCAAAAAAAAAAAAGAAAAAAAAGGGCCGGGGATTTAGCTCAGTGGTTTCACCACCGCCTACTGCGCAAGTGCAAGGACCCAAGTTCGATCCCCAATACAAAAAAAAAAAAATAGAAAGTATGAAAGTGCTTTAGAGAACAAAGCAAACAAAAATTCCATGTACAAATATGCTAAAATGAAATCCACTATTCTATATACCAGTGGTGGCAAACCTATGGCATGTGTGCTGCATTGGGCTGTTTTCATCACTGAAATCTCTAAAAGGTTCACCATCACTGGTACAGAAAAGGGTCATTAGGGGAAAACTGAGAATATCTGAATAAAGTATGGATTTTAGTTCATAATAATATACCAATATTGATTCATTAATTTGGCAAATGTACCATATGGAAGCTCACTGCAGTATCTTCACAATAACTCTGTAAATCTAAAATTGTTCTGGGCTGAGAATTTAGCTCAGTGGTTCTGCTGCCTGCCTCACAACCGCAAGGTCCCGAGTTTGATCCCCGGTACCAAAAAACAAAACAAAAATAAAATATCTACTTTTGGGCTGGGGATTTAGCTCAGTGGTTTCGCTGCCTGCCTCACAACTGCAAGGTCCCGAGTTTGATCTCCAATACCAAAAAATAAATAAATAAATAAAATCTAAAATTGTTCTAAAGTAAGATTTAGAAAATAGCTCAACATTTCAAAATAAATAACCATGGAGATATGTATAGTTCTCAAGACTTAACAAATACAAAAGACTGAAAAAGCCAGATTCCAAAACTGCCAGAGGCTTCACCATCTCCCAACTTTTCCCCAAAGGTGTACAGTATGTTGGCAGGGGGAATTCTTGGCTTCTAATGATGAGGTTTTCAAATTCTGTTCTGAGAATTCAACTAAAACAGACTGGGGATTGAAAACCAGTGTAAAGAAGTACTGCCTTGTAGCTATGGGCTATATATTCAGATTTGTCCCACTATAACAAATTCCCAAAATGCCTCAAAATTGGCTTAGAATTTTGTCTATGGAAAAGTAATCCATCTCCCAGGGCAGAGTCATCAGTGACTGGTGAACTGAAACTGTTATGCAAATGTCTTGCAAAAAAAAAAATGGGGGTGGGGAAAATATTGAAGATTAAACCCAGGGCCTCGCACATGCTAGACATATGGTCTACCATTGAGTTATATTCCCCAGCCCTTTTTATTTTGAGACAGGGCATTGCTAAGTTGCCCAGACTGGCCTTAAACTTATGATTCTCCTGCCTCAGCCTCCCAAGTAGCTGGGATTACAGCCATTACCTTCCCACTCAGCTGAAATATAATTATTAGTCTAAATATGCTGTGACCATTTTTAAACTGAGTTTCTGTGGTTTGCTTTTTTTTTTTTTTTAAGACAAGTCTATGTAGTTCAGGCTGCCCTTGAATTCTTAGCAATCTCCTACCTCAGCCTCCCCAGTGCTAGGTGTGTGTCACTATGCCTGGCTTAAAAAGTGTGAGATTCACAGTTTCCACTGTGTGAGAGATACAAATCCATGGAAGATACATTCCAACACCCCTAGTGGATGCCTGAAACCATAGATAACACAGAACCCTAAAATATACTGTTTCTTCTTCTCCGTAAAGTGTAATTTACAAATTAGGTACAGTGAGAGATTAACAATAACAACAACTAATAATAAAACGCTACAATTATAACAATATACTAGAATAAAAATTATGTGAATATGGTCTGTCTTTCAAAATATTTTCTGTACTTACCCTTTCCTTGTGATGTGATATGATACAATGGCTACGTGATGAAATGAAGTGCGGTGAATGCCACAGGTACTGTAATGTGGCCAGGCTATCACTGACCTGAGGTCAGAAGGACCATCTGCTTTGGTGATCCTGGACCACTGAGCCACATCAGTGTGGATGATTGGCTATCAGGAGCAAATGCTGCTGATAGTTGGGAATCCCCTAAAGTTGAAGGTATTTTGTGGACATCTTTTGGAAGAACACTGTAATGGGAAGTGTTGCTGTAGAGGCTATAATCAATCCTTCAGTGATCATCTGGAGGACTTTAACACTGCATTCCATCCAAGGATGGTATTCCCAATTGTGTCCTTTTCTGTCTACAAAATCTCAACACTTCAGCAAATTTCAGTAACGTCCACATTGTTTCTGCTTCAGTTTCTTATCTTCCCCCTCTCTGTAGAAGACTCAATTAGTTTTCCAATTCCACAACTGTTAACACTTCTGCATGGCTTTAAATACGTTCTTCCACTTCTGCTGGAAATCCTTTAATATGCTTTTCCAGTTCTGCTAGAAATGTGGCAGAAGCATCTTCATCAGAGGATATGGCCTCTCCAGCAATTTTTCTATTCTTCAGTTCAAATCTATTCCTGAACCAGTGTAAGCATCCCTTAATTGCAGTAAATGGCTTCATGGCACTTGTTTCAGAGGCTTCCTTGCTGAAGTTTCCATATAAGCTCAATGCTTTCTGAAGTAACACCCTTCCATCAACTGGAATACAGGTTCCATTTATATCTTCCACCCATAAATCTGATATCTTCTCCATCTTATCTAAGCAGCTATCACTCACTTTGCTTGTAACTTTCACAATTTGAGGTGTGCCTGCAAAACCAGCACGAGTTTCTTTTCCCTTCTTCATAATCATTCTTACTATAGATTTTAGCAACCTCCGAATATGATTTTTCTTTCCTTATTAAGGAAGCACTTTCCAGCTTCTCTTTGGTGTATTCAAATTGCTAGCATCACTACTCTTGAGCTTGGGGCCCATTATAAAGTAAAATAAGGGTTACTTGAACACAACCACTATGGTACTGCATTGTTGATCTGATAACAGAGATGGCTACTAAGAGACTAATGAGTGGGTGCCATATACAGCACGGATCTGCTGTACATAGGGATGATTGAAATTCAAGGTAGGACAAAGAAAAGGCTCAAGATTTCATCATACCACTCAGAATACAAATTCAAAACTTATTGTTTGTTTATTTATTTATTGGTACCAGGGATTGAACTCGGGACCTTGCGCTTGCGAGGCAGGCGCTGAAACCACTAAGCTAAATCCCTGGCCCTTAACTGCTTGAGAGTTTTTCCACTTACTATTTTCAGATCACAAGTAAGAGACACAGCAAGAATATAGTGGGGGTCTACTATACTTAGAGAATCAATTAGCCTCAAACACACTGAACACCCGAGAGCACTTTACATTCACTGTCTCGTTTAATTCTCAGGACAAGTCTATCTGCGCAGTTTACACGAGAGAAAATGAGAAGAGGAAAGACGACTGCCCAGCGTTCACAGAGCAATAAAGGGTAAACTCGGGATCCGAGCTCTGGCCACACTGACTCTCGAACTCCGGCTCCACCTGCAGGAGGAAAGGCCGGGACGTGGCCGTGGAGACTGAGTTGTGGCCCAGGCTCCGAACTGCAGGCTGGACCGCACCAGGCGAGGCCCTCCGCCTACCTGGAATTCAAACTTCCCACGGCAAGTAACTTCCCACCGAATGCCTCAGGAAGTTATTCAAGCCTCCTGCTAAGCAACGCCGGTTGAAGTACCAGAACCCACCCTTCCCCCTCGGTTCCCTCTGCAGCTCCAACTCCGCCCCTCCGGGAATCGCCGGACAGCTGCGGGAACCTCCACGCATACCTCCTGTGTCGCCGCGCCGCTCCCTGGAAGTACTTCTTCATGACCCCAAGCCCCGGAAGTGACGTACCCAAGCAACCAGAGGCCTCAGTTCCGTCTGCGTTGCTAGGATTATGGCGAATTTAGATCATAGGGGCTGCACTTTCTCGGACTTTTGTCACCTACTGTGTGATTTTTAGTTTTAGTGAAGAGAGCTCTAGACTCCCTCCATTTTCCAAACCCTTTATTACTTAGCGCTTTCAGTAAACGTTTGTAGAAGCCTTACCAGGCTGTGAGCTAGGATGGGAAACAAACAGAAACACTTGTTATAATTCAGACAAAAGTAAATCATTATACTTAGTTTTTTTAAAAAAAAAATCTACCGAGTTATAATCTGTTGGAGGGAAGGAGGGAGACAGTGAAATGACTAAATGTACGTGGAATCATGTAATGTGATGACTGAAAGACAGCAGTATGATTGAGAATGGGTGGCAAGTAGTTGGTGAGAAAAAGACCTAGTTTTTTCAAACTGTGGTAACAAGTCTCCACCATGGACTAGGGTAGTGTTTGGCTCCTGATACACCCTTTGTAATTAGTTTGCACACTGTATAAGGCTGACCATATTGAAAAGACACTGAACTTCCTCTTTGCTCTCGTTTGATCACTCATGGGAAATCCCATGCTCTGAGGACACTCAAGTAGCCCTATGGGGAGGCTCACATGGGTAGGAACCACCTAGCCTTCTGCCAACAACCAGCTCCAACTTGCCAGCCAAATTCATTAGCCATCTTGGGAGTCCAGACTCGGTTCAGATGATGGCAGTCCTGACCAAAGTATTAAATATAACCTTGTGAAAGACTTTGAACTGGAAACACCTAGCAAAATCACTCAAATTCCTGACTCAGAGAAATTATAATTGTACAAAAATTATAAAATATATTATTGTTTTAAACTCCTAAATTGCAGGGTAATTTATTATGCTGATATAGGGGAATATAACTCCCAACCTGCTAGGTGTCAAGATACACTGACTTCCTGTCCCCCAAAACCAAAGAATGAATTCTGAGGAACAACGGAAGTTAAGAGTAGGAAAGATTTATTAAGAGAGTTCACTCCTGAGAGACAGGAGGGGACCCAGAAGTGGGTTGCCACAGAGGCCATTTCTCTAAGAATGTTTTATAGAGCAAAACCATATGGGTACAAAAATCACAAGGTGAGTACAATGTGGGTCAAACTATATTCAACCAGTAAGAGTATAACTGTAGCTGCTTAGCTAATATTGATCCAATAGGAAACAAGTCATGTAGCAAAGGTACTTGGAAGGAACAAAGGCATTTTTAGGAAAGGATGGGTCCAGATGCTCTGGTCATTCATCTGGGTGACTGATGTCTATCTGGGCTTTACCAGACCAGGGGATACCAATTATAGTATAATCTGAAGTTATTGCTTATCTCTCAGGGAGGCATGTAAGCCTAGTCATTCTATCTTTATCTTGAGACCTGGTCTTCAGCAGAGGCACCTCCAGCCACACTTGTGATGTGTTCTCATCTTCTGCACTGGCTGCCTGTAATATTTCTACTTAACTTAGCTGCTTATAATAATGCCTCATGGTTAACTAACAGAGGACAGAGAAAGAGGAGTTGGATGCTGAGATTCATAAAAGAATGAGACCTAGCTAAGCCTCAAGGAACTTGTGGTCGCTTGGAGGACAGAGGCAAAAATAATTATAATTCATTCAATATTCACTAATCTCACACTGTGAAGTAGTGTGATGTATCCAAAGATGCAAATTCATTTATCAAATATGTGTAGAATTTCTGCTCTGGCCAATACATTATGACACTGGGAATTCATTGGTGGATAGGTGGGTCCCAACCTTCATTGTGCTTTCAGGCTAGAGATTACTAATATCCACCACCCCCACCACTCAATCACACAGATAAATGTATACTTATAAACTATGAAACATGTTGGGAAGAAAGAAGGAAAATAATAAAAGAACAAATAACATGAGGAAGATACAATCAAGAGAGGATGATCAGAGAAAGTTTCTCTGATGATGTAACATTTCAAGTAAGAAATGAAGAGTGAATAGGAATTTGCTGGGCAAAGAGAAGGAGAAATAAAAACATGATGGGGGAGGTGGGAGAGGCTGGGCTGTGGGAAAAGTCTTGGAACATAAGGTTAAATGAAGTGGGAAGAAGTGGAAGCCTGAAAGGAACACATACTTAGGATACAACATGGTACTTGCCCTAGAGGAGCCCATATAGGGTATTTGAGGACAGTATTTTATGGGTTGAATTATGTCCTCCCCAAAAGATATGTTGGAATCCTAACCTCAGTTACATCAAACTGTGACCTTATTTGAAGATAAGATCTTTACAAATACAATGAAGTTAAAATGACATTAAAATGGGCCCTAGTCCAATACAGAAGGTGGGAGGACAGCATAGTTCACTCATAAAAATGGCCTCCAAAGATGAAGGCAAACTTTTATTAGTACATGTTTTCAGTACATAATGATTACATTCATCATGGGAAGTTGGTACATGTACATAACACATTTTTATTCATTTACTTCTCCTTCCCCTCCCTCCCTGTCCCTTTCACCTCTGGATCCCCTTCCCATTTGCAAAAGATCTGTCTCCCTGTTTCTTATTATCTACCTTTTATTTTGCTCTTTAAATTATTTATACTTTGGATTTCTCATATAAGAGAAAGCATACAATATTTAAACTTGTGTGTCTGATTTATTTCACTTAACATTATGATCTTAAGGTGCATCCATTTTCCTACAAATGACTCAAATTTATCCTTCTTTATGGGAGAGTAGTACTCCATTGAGTGTAAATACCACATTTTCTTGATCTATTCATCTGTTGATGGACATATAGGCCTTTTTTTTTGTACCGGGGATCGAACTCAGGTCCTTGCTCCTGTGCAGCTGGCGGCAAAACCACTGAGCTAAATCCCCAGCCATAAAGCCCATTGTTAAGATTTAGCTATTATGAGTTGTGTTATACTCATGCTATAAACATGGTATGCATGTATGCATGTATCACTGTAATACGATGTCATTAACTCGTTACGGAAGATATCTAGAAGGGGAATACCTAGGTCCAATGGAATTTCTATTTTTAGCTTTTTGGGGAATTTTTGTATTGATTTCTAAAGTAGTTATACTACATTCTCACCAACAAAGTAGAGAGCTTCATTTTTCCCCACAGCTTTGCCAACATTTGTTATTATTTGATTTCTTGATCACAGCCATTCTTTATGGAGTGAGATGGAATCTCAGTGCTGTTTTAATTTACATCTCTCTCATGGCCAGAGATGTTGAACAGTTTTTCATGTATTTATTGGCCATTTGTACTTCTTCTGAAAAGCATCTACTCATTTAAAATGCCATTTTTATAGGATCTTTAATATTTTTAGCTCTTTATATATTCTAGATATTAGTCCTCTGCCCAAGGAATAGCTGGCAATTTTTTCCCCACTCTGTAGGTTGTCTCTTCACTCTATTGGTTGCTTCCTTTGCTGTGCAAATACTTTTTAGTTTAATATAATCCCATTTGTTAATTTTTGATGTTATTTCCTGTGCAATTGGGGTTCTGTTCAGAAAGCTCTTGACTATGCCTATGTCTTCAAGAGTTTTACCTTCCAGCATATTGTTTCTGTTTTAACATTGACTTTATATTAGTACATAGTGAAAGAAATGGACCTAGATTCAATCTTCTGCATGTATATAGCCAGGTTTTCCAGCACCATTTGTTAAAGAAGCTATCTTTTCTCAAGCATATGCTTTTGGTCCCTTTGTCAAAGACCAGATGGCTGAATGTGCCTGTGGTTGTGAGTGCATAAGGTTAGATATTGAAATGATACTTCTACTGCCAAGGAATACCAATGACCACCAGAAGTTAGGAGTCATGATACAGCTTCCTTGCAGCACTTAGAAGGTACCAATAGACACCTTGATTTCAGACTTCCAGCCGCAGAACTGTGAGAAAATAAATATCTGTTGTTTAAGCCATCCAGTTGGTACTATGTACTTTGTCATAGGGCAGCCTTGGCACACTAATACAGATGAGCAGATGCTTTGAAACCTATTATTCTCTGCAGCCAAATGTAAAAGGGCCCCTGGTGTGGCCGCTGCAGGCACAACTACTCTCACTTTCTGGAAGCTTCTGGAAATTGCCAGCTGACTTTTGCTCATCTCTGTGCCCTGCCTGGCTCCATTAGCAGCACCACAGCACAGTGGAGAACTTTGTGGCATGCTTATTCCTACCCATAACACCTATGCATTATGAAGGAGAAAAAGGTAAAAAATGAATGTTTTCTGCTGCAAATAAATTTCTAAAGTAGCTTAACATATGACAGCGTGAGGCAGTTTTGTATTAATTATAGTTGCCATTTATTATGTATTCACTACATACCAGACACATGTCAATATTCTCTCCCCAGTGAACGTATAAAATGGGTATTATTATTATTATTCCCACTTACATGTGAAGAATCTAGGACTAGGAAGGTTAGCAACTTTGCCAAGGTCTCAGACTGTGTGTATGCATGTCTATTACACAACCTGCCCAACTTGTACAAATTAGATAAATGCTACAGATATGTGTGCTTGTGGCAGACCCCCCTGGCCGGGCTTAGAGCAGGCTGCAGTATGGGGCAGGCATCCCCTCCCCCCAATAATTGGCTACAATGTATTCAGAGCCAGACCAAAGCCTTCCTGACTCACAGGAGGATGAGGAATGGCACTAACATACCCACCCCCCACTGCTCTGTCAGAGACCTAGATCCTGGTCTGGGAAGTTTCAGGGCTCCTGAGTGAGAAGACACTGTAGCCAAGGATCGTGTGGCTCCAAACTACATTTCATTCCTAGAGCTACCCCTCCCTTAATTGTTTTAGTAGCTTACTAGTTAACCACCACCTACCTTTGATCTCTTCTGCTCTTTTCACAAGAATGCCTTAGCCCCCTTTTCAAGCCTTGCCTGTGACAGCTGATATCACCAGATGCCACACATATCCCCCGACGCTATTTTACTCATACTTGTATAATCAATAAATACTGGCAGTCCTGGTTGCTTGGAGTCCTCACCACATGCTCGGTGTGGTCCATCCCAGTTCTCTGTTTTGCTGTGGATCTTTGTGTCTTCTTTTCACCTTTCACCGTATCACCTTGCAGAAGATCAAGACTCTTGGCCAGGGTCCTCTATATGTGCACAAGGAAAAGAGGAAGAGACCAAGCCATCTGGGAAGGCTTCATGAGGGATGTGGCTCCATATAGGTCCTATTTGATAGGCTGTACAGTCAGTCCCCGACTTATGAACACTCGAGTTTCAAAATTTATCGAGTTTCGAAATTTAACAGGGTTCATATAAGACTCACTTTGTTGGACTTATGAATGAATCTGACTTATGGACATTGTCTTGGAATGGAACTCACTCATAAACCAGGGACTTACTGTATTTGGATAAGGGAAAAGGAAAGTAGAGGTGCAAAACTCACTTTGCATTTCCCAGTCTGCCATTATTGGTCTCTCTGCCTGGAATATACCCTTCTTCTGACTCCTCACAAGACAGGCTCATTCTCATCCTTTAGGGCTCAGCCTTTTAGATAAAGGCTTCACTACATGGTGGTGCACACCTGTAATCTCAGCTGTCTGGAAGGCTGAGCTAGGAGAATCACAAGTGCCTGGGCAACTTAGTGACTTAGTGAGACCCTGTCTCAAAATTTTTAAAAAAGGGCTGGGGATATAGCTCTGTGTGAAGGCTCAGTTCAATGGCCAGTACTGCACAACTGTAATAGAAGAAGTGAAATTACCTAGGGACCACCAAGCTTTGAAAAGCCCACACCACATGGAGACAAGAATTCTCAGGCACCAGACTTGAGCATGAAGAAGTCATCTCAGGGAAGTGAGATATGCCCAAAAGCCAAGATGGTAGAATGTGAAGCATAGAATCTAGGTGGTAGGTAGTATTTGTTGTACAATTCTTTTGACATTTACAAAAAAGAAAAATGTGACATTTTTCACTATGAAATTTTGTGACAAAATCATCTTGGAAGTGGATTCTTCAGTGCCAGATGCCTCAGCAGGCACCACATGGAGCAGAGATGGAGCCCCAGCCTGGTCCTTCCCAAACTCCTGAACCACAAAACCATGAGCAAGATAAATGAGTGCTTTAAGCGTAATTTGAGAGGCTAGAAAACAGAAACCCTCTCCCTAAGTAAATCTCCCTTACTTTCTGTCACAGGTCCCTGCCTATGTCTCTTTTTTTTTTTTTTTTTTTTGGTACCGAGGATTGAACTCAGGACCTTGCGCTTTCGAGGCAGGTGCTGGAACCACTGAGCTAAATCCCTGTCCCCCTATGTCTTTTTTGTTCTTGTTCCTACACTAAGAATTAAACCCAGGGCCTCATGCATGCTAGGCAGCACTCTACCACAGAGTTACATCCCCAGCCTCCTGCTCTTGTCTCCTTTTTTTTTTCTGTACCAGGAATCAATCTCAGGACTTGAGCTTTCGAGGCAGGCGAGGTGCCACTGAGCTAAATCCCCAGCCTTTGCTCTTGTCTTTATAGCAGTTACCACAATTTGTAATTCTCCTGTTTGCTTATGTGTGTGTGTGTGCGCGCGCGGTCGCGCGCGGGTAGTGACAGTGGTACTGGGGGTCGAACCCAGGGACTTCACACTGAGCTATATCCCCACACTGTTTGATTGATTGACTGATGTTTTTATTTTCTTTATTTTGAGGGTCTGTCTCATTATGTCACCAAGTTGCAAGACTGGGCTTGAACCAACTTGCAGGGTTCCCATTGGCTCCTTTGCACCTTAGGCTCAGCTCCAGTGTGGAATCAAGAACACTGGGTGTGGCAGATCCTGAGGAATCCAGAAGGCAGGACCAGAACCAGAGGCTGCTCTAACCAGGCAGTGGGGACGTCTTCCATGTTCAGCAAGACCAGAGGCACATTTGTCTGGAAACTAAGCGGGCCCAAAGGCAGTGGGACTCACCACATTCTGACTCTTTGGGCCTCCTTGGGCCTCAGAGCAGATCACCAGCTTTGCTTGTTCAAAGACACAGGCAGGGCTCACCCTCCCCACTCTCTTGGCAGAGTCCAGAACTTCATCTTCCTGAAGTGCCTCAGTCACCGAAGCAGCACAAACTTCACATGCATCCGACATCTGGTTGGTATTAATTACCTCCACATTTATTAAGTGCCCCATTAAACTTGGCTCTGACAGCACAGTTGGCTCCCTGGGTTAAATCCATGCTAAATATTCAATTATACACAGCACAAGCAGAATCATATTTGGCAGGGATTAGCTCACTCGTCCTGTGAAGGCACTTTTCCAATTGAATAACAATGGTGCTTTTAACTGTATAGTGTTTTCCTCTTGAGGGACTTTAGGCTGGACCATCTCCCAGAGGGAGACAGAAACTGGGTGTCCTCATCTCCATTTTGTAGTTGGATGAACTCATTAAAGAACATTGTCCCTAGCCACATACCCTGGAATCTTACTCCTCCCGCAGGGCCCAACTCAAATTACTTCCACTATGAAGCTTTCTGGATTCCCCCCATCAGAATTTTCAGGCAGCACTTGACCCTGAGAGAAGCTCAGGCCTAAGAAGAACATCTGAGCCCTCACTGCACACAGAGTCCTGTGATGGATACATGACCTGCATTCGGTCACTCCATTCTCCCAGCAAACCTGAAGAGTATTTCTATTTCACATGTGAGGAGACTGAGACATAGAGAGGTCAAGGGATGGGTCTAGGGTTAGTTGTATACTAATAAATGTTTCATCCAGAACTAAAACCAGCTCTCCAACCCCACTGTCTTCACCACAACTATCCTGGTTCATTCATTCATTCAACAGGTATTTATTGACACCTATTACACACCAGTTCTTGTTAGGAGAATAGTAAAGCTAGCTATGCAGGAGTGAAGAAAACATGCCCCTTGCCCTAACAAAAGATTATCATCTATCAAAGAAGACAGACTTAAAGTACTTCCAGAGAGATTATTTAATTAAAAATCAAGCATAGGGCAATATTAGTAAAATTTAACTGATAAGGCAAAAGTAAGAAAAGCAAAGAAATTGGGTCTCTGGATGGCTCTTTATTGTAATTCAGGAGTCAGTGACTCTTCCTTTTGTCTTATATTGTGCAGCTAAGTAACACCTGAGGATGCTAACATTTGCTTTGGGACTGTCCTCAGTTACTTCCCTCTCTGAACCACAGTTTTTCCAGCTGTAAAATGGAGATGAAAACAGCAAAAGACTATAAGTAACCCATATATCTACCAACAGGAGCCTGCTTGAATAAATGATGATTTCATCTCTACCATAGAATATGCAGCTGTTACAAAGCAGGAGGCAGGTACAGCAGCACACACCTGTAATCCCAGCTACTCAGGAGGCTGAGGCAGGAAGATTAGGTCAGTTCAGACAATTTAGCAAAACCGTATCTCAAACAACAACAACAACAAAAGCATGAGGCAAGTTTAAATGCTGGAGAAGGATTTCTAAGACATCTTGAGTGAATGAAGCAGAGTGCATCCAGAGAGGTGAGTGTGGAATTCTACCATGAAGGGGAAAGGCAGTAAAGAAGTGCCCTTACATGTACATGGGGTATGTGAATAAGGATGCATGAGGAACAGGTGAGGGGTTGCCCCACGGAGAGGACCTGCACATTTGAGGTTATAAGGAGATTTACTCTGAATGTGTGCCATTTTGTTCCTCTTGACTTTTGCATTCTGTACATGTACTTTCCCAAAAGACATCAATCAATCCTAGAAAAATTTTAATACACCTTTTTGATGAGGGTAAAATTGGAGTAAAACAGCCCTGCTCAAATCAGCCTACCTCCTGGTGCTGCAGTTAGTTTCAAAGCCAAGGTCGGATGTGGCAGCCTCTTGAAGAATCTGAAATGATTAGAACACATGTTGCTAATAATGAGATGAGAGAGGAATAAGGGGCTGAACAGAGAAAAAGACAAAAGAGGAGGGAAAGACGGGAGAAACAAAGAGGTCATGCATAGTTATAATGACCCACAGAGTAAAATTCCACAATCACTTCAGTGCCACCGAGACCCCCTAAGGAAGTGGTGCTACCTGCTTCTTCTTAGCTGGCTGCCAAGTTACCATAGTAATGTAATAGCCTGTGATAAACTTATTTTTGATTCTGAAAATATTTTAGAAAAAACAGACAGATGGGCAACAATGAGCAGAGAAGGTGCCTGTGTGAGAAGAGGGGTGAGGGTGACTTCCCCAGCTTGATATTTTCCCTTGAGAACAAGTGCAGTAGGCCAAGAGCAGAGCACTGGGGACCTGAGCGCTGTCTGAAGTGCCTGGAGTCTAGTGTGATAAAGACTGCCTCACCTTCTTCCCAGTTCCTGCCTCAGTAGGTCTGAAGAGGGACATTTCTCCTGAGTCCCCAGGAGGTATGGTTGCTGCTGGTTGGAGCCCACATTTGGAAAACCTCTGCCCTAAATGATCTCTACGGAGCTCTCCAACTCAGGAAGCTGTGCACTGATATGCCATGGGTGTATCTACTCCTCTGTTGGCCTCCTTTAGCAACCAACAGCAACCAAGTCCCAACAGAAGGGCCCAACATGGTTGTCAGGGAGGCAGAGCATATTTAGGGCCAAGGGCTTTGAGGGTAGAGGCGAGCTCCTCATACAAGCGAGTGCATGGGAAGATTGGTCCAAGTTCCAATTGCCTCTGCCAGAGCTCTCTCATGGGGCCAATTAACTGGGTGTGATGGCCAGTATGTGCCACAGGGCCAGAGGAAAGGCAGCTGCCCATCAAGAATGTGGCTGAGCAAGAGCCAGGGCTGGCTGGGGAGGATGTGAAAATGACAGAAGCCAAGTCTTCAGGCACCATAATTGACCTCAGTGAGATCCTGATTCCCCACAGAAATAGGCAGGCAGCCAAGTCAGAACACCCCATGCAACACACAGAGCAGCTGGGTACGAATGCAGACAGCTGGGGGAAAGTGCAATATAAATTACAAGATCTCCTAATTCAGGATTTCTTGTGCATTCAAAACATGTTTATAGAGTACCACCGTGTGCCAGGTGCTATGGCAGAGAAACACACCTGGGTCATGTGCAAGACCTGACCTGGCCCTTATGGAGCTTGCTTTTAAGTAAAAACAGACAGCTATTATTCAAAGAATCATGTGACTCAATTGTGCTGGAGTTAGAGAAGCACATAATCTTGTATAATATATGTGTGTGTGTGTGTGTGTGTGTGTATGATGCTTAAATATTTAGAGGTAAAGGGGCAAGATGTGTGGAAATTATTTTTAAATGGTTCAGAGAAAAAAAATACATATTATTTAGATATGTATAATGGTATATATAATCTCTGTATAATCCTATAGCAAGACAGTGACAAAACGTTAGCAATTAAAGAATCCAAACAAAGAGCATATGGGAATTCTTTGTATTGTTTTTGCAACTTTTCTGAGAGTTTGAAGCTATTTCACAAGTAGAAATTAAGTAAGAACCACAGAAATACACAGAGTTGTAACTGCAATGAGTACTCTTTTTTGAAAGTATGCAATGGTGTAAGGACCTAAAATGGACTGGTTTGTAGGAAACAGGGAGGTCAAAGAGGGTTTCCTGGAGGTGGCATTTTTGCGCTGAAGTTTTAGCAGTTATGACAGGTATTGGTGAATTCCAGAAAAGGACTCAGCCGGGAGAAACTGTGTGGTGGGAGATGGTAGAGCACGTTGGAGGAACGGAAGAGAAATCTCAGCAGCTGGGCCTAGGAAGCCCATGTATAATGGCAGAGCCAGTCAGAGGCAGGGCTCCTGGAAAGCCCCTTCTAGTCCAGGATGGTGTCTCTTTGTTTTGTTTCTCTTCTACTCTACTCTGGCTCCCCTCCAACCTCACTCAGTTTTATTTTTAAACTTTTAAATTATTTATTTATTTTGCTACTAGGGGTACTAAGGGTTGAATCCAAGGCCCTCAAAATAAGTAAAACCCCCAGTCCTTTAAGTTTGGGGGTTTTTTGTTTGGTTGGTTTTTTGTTGCTGTTGTTTTGGGGTTTTTGTTTTTGTTTTTGTTTTGAGTTAGGATCTTGTCTCTCGCTCAATTGCAGATTTCCCAGGCTGGGCTTGAACTTGCAATCCTGCCTCACCCTCCCAAAATGCAGGGATTTCAGATGTGCACCACTGTGCCTGGCTCTGGCCTCTGTTCTGAAGGCTCCACTCAAATGCAGCTGCCTGGGCCAAGGTCCCAGGAGCCCAGTAACATATGGCAACTTGATCTGTGGGCTTCTTGAAGCCCCTTCCCTTTAGCTCCATCTCAGCCCCAAGTCCCTGGCCACCATCCATCAATTCCTCCTTTACCTGCCAAAGGAGAAAAAAGGAAAAAGTTGGGCTGTCATTTCAACTCATTTGTACAATTTGCTTCCTGAGCCTCAGGCACCCAAGTCCAACCTTGGGTGCCTCTGCACAGCTCCCTGTGCTCTCCCTCCTCAGCTGATGTCCCAAAGAGCTCGGAGTCTGCCAAATGCTGCTCTGAGTGATTCTGAAGTACAAACCTGCATGACAAACACATGGCGTCTCCATGGCACCCTTGGTTATCTAAGCATTCTGCAGATGCAGTGTAGCATTGAATAAATTCCAGCAATGTTTTCTAGATCCCAGGAGATAAACACCTTTTTTGATACTGGGGCTTGAACCCAAGGCTTTGCACTGAGCTACATTATCAGTTCTGTTTTATTATTTGTTTTAAGGTGAGGTCTTGCTAAATTGCCCAGGCTGGCCTCAAACTTGAGATCCTCCTGCCTCCGCCTCCCAGAGAACTGGGATAAGTTAGTTCCCTTTTATTAGATAATTTGTCAAGTCAGAGAACTCAGAGTTTAAAGGAACTATGAAGTCCTGTGGCCTAATGTCTTCATTTTACAAAATTAACTCACCCACGGTCACAGAGCAAGTTCATAAAGGAATTGGACTTAGAAATAAGGTTTCCTGGTGGCCAGTAGAAAGATCCATGCTGACCAGTTAAACAAATGTACAGGGTCTCCCAGGTAACTAACATGTTCTGATCAGTGTCTGTGTAATTAGCAGTCTTTATCTATAAAGTGAGCAATTTAGAAAGCCTTAGTGGAAAACGAGTCCCCAGAATCTGCCTTGTTGCATTTAGCAACTCTATATTGTGTCATTTTTATCTATTTAGTTTCACTTCAGACCTGGTTCTGATTTTCCATTTATGACTAAAGACCCATGGATGAGGAAAAGGGAAGTCAGAAAGGAAAATCTTTACTTTTGTATTCTGCAAGTCTTTCCACACTTTTTCTCCTCTTTGTAACACTTCCTTTCCAGAGCCCCTTGAGCTTCTCAAATCTGTATTTCCAATCCCCTATTCACCTTGGTTGTAATTATCCTGGGAAAATTTAAATTCCTTATCATGCTTTGTGACAATACCAGCTCAAGCTAAGCAAGCCTCACTTCCATGCTGAGGTCTGTCGAATTTGAATTGCCCTCAGTAGTTTCCCTTAATAGGAATCATTGTTAGAATTTTTAAAGGGGTAATAATGAAATTGAGACTATGTTAAAGAAAAACCCCTTATCTTTTTTGAGATATATATTGAAATATTCATGGATGAAATGATACGAAGTCTGGGATTTTCGTCAAAATATTCTAGTGGGAGAGATAATTAAGAATATGCTCACTAGGGCCGGGGATTTAGCTCAGTGGTTCCAATGCCTGCCTTGCAAGCAGAAGGACCTGAGTTCGATCCCTGGTACCAAAAAAAAAAAAAAGAATATGCTCACTAATGGAGTATGTTAGTCTCCACTGCCTTTAGGCTTTTTTTTTTTTTTCAGTGCTGGGAATCAAACCCAGAGCTTCATGCATGCAGGCAAGTGCTCAGCCACTGAGCTGTGTCTCCAGCCCACTTGCAAGTTTTTTTTGCAGCCTCTTCCTCACCTCCATCCTCCGCCTACCCCATCTCTGAATCTGTTTGCTTTGTGCCTGTAGACAGGATTCTGCTCCTGGAGACTCAGCAGAGAAGAGAACATGGTCACTGGAACCAAGAATCCTAGGCAAAATCCCATCTCCCCACCAGTGAGTGCAGGGGCTGTGGACAAGCCACTGACTCATCTGAGTCCGTTTCTCCATCTACAAAGCAAAGAAGACAAACTGACAGCTAACAGCCACTTTTCTAATGGGTTCTTCTTGTCCTATTTTTCTAATTCTGCGTCCACCCGCCTTGAAGGTGGTAGTAACCTTTCTAAAGTCCCCACCCCCCAAGGGCCTTAGCTCTTTAAGGGCTCGGCTACCTCTCCAGATGTCTGGAGATGCTGACTCCTAAGAACTCAACATGTGCAATGCAGAGCTATTGTTCCTTTTCTCAGCAAGCTTCTCCAAGCATCCTGATCATCCCCACAGCCCCTAGCTGGTTCATAACATCCCATTCCTTCACCTCCCTCTTCAGCTACTTCAGGCAGAGCTCCCATCTTCCAGAGCTTGCCTGGAGGTGCTCCCCGTCTCAGGGCCCTAGGGACCACTGGCGTGGCCAGCTGTAAAAGCTTCCCAATTGGGCTCCCTCCTTCTGCCTCTCTGCTTTCTATTCCTCACTTCAGGATGCTGGCAACACCCTCCATCCAGAATAACCCTTCCTGGCCTTGCAAGCCTCCTGTGGATTCTCTCCACTGAGAGCAGAAACAGGCCAAATTCCTTAGTGTGGCATTTGACACCTTGCACAGCTTGCCCTTAGGTGCTTTGTGGCAGAATCATCCACATTTCCTGCTGATAAAGCCACAAGCCTGGGGTTCTCCATCTGTGGGCCCTGTATTGGAATCACTTGGGCCCTTGGCTGAAACTCCAGAGCCCTGGAGTCTACTCGAGACACCTGAACTTGGAGTCCAGCTCTGAGGCACACGAAGAACAGAGGATCCTCACCCCAGCCACGCCAGGTGACTGCCAATTCCTCTGCAAAGCCTTTTCTGCTGGCTGGTAGAGGGACCCCCACCATTCTGCTCCTGTAGCACCTTGGCTGCACCTCTATTATAGACTCTGCATATTAATGATGTGTAATTATTTGCTTGCCTGTCACCTGCCTGCCTTGCTAGAAAGAAATCTCCACCAAAGCAAGCTGACAGAATGCCTGCAGCCCCTAACACAGTGAATAACATAGTGAGCACTTGATAAATACCAATCCATTTGATTGTCTTACTCTTTCATGGCTTCTGAACACCAAACATGGTGTTTTGCACCAGCAGGTATTATCACATAGATGTCTGATGGATAGATTATCAAACGATGGATAAAAGCGTGAATGAATGATGAAATATGTAAATATATTAATAATGACTTTTCATCATGCATTAATATTCTGGAATGTTTGTGCATACCTGGGACCATCTCCAAACTGAAAGACATGTAAATGGAGTCCAAGGTCAAATGGGAGCCTGGGACTTTTTGCTCCAGGTTTACAGGTAAAATCACCACACCAAAGTTCTAACATTAATTTAAAAATTGTCACTATCAAGCTAGGTGTGATGCTGCACACCTGTAATCCCAGCACCCTGGGAGGCTGAGGCAAGAAGAG